AACCAATCTGATTGTGAATTATTGATTTCTTTGATTGATTAGTAATTTGCCCCTGACCGTAAGTCGGCGTGTAAAATTGAACCGGACTTCAAATAAAATTAGCTGAACCATCTAAACCGAACATGTACCAAATTGATTATTACCGGATGGATACTTAAATAGATATATTGAAAGAAAATCTTTGAAGGAATATGGAATAACTCGATAAATTAGTATTATATTAGTTGGAAAATACTACATATTTCTGTAAACAGATTTCGATCCATCTAAATTTTTGAAAAGTAATTATTTCTGTTTTCAAATTAACTTTTAAAATAATTCAATTGAAACCAATCTGATATTATTGAAGAAACCAGACCAAACCGAAGTTTCCAAATGCTTACATATACTTCAACAAACAAATAGAGTTTTATTGCAAATTCAATTTACCAACATTATTACCGCGATTTTGTCCAGTCTTGCTTGTTGTTTGTTTGTGTTCGGTGGATTATGAACAAATAATAACAAACAATATTCCTTAAAATGGAAACTGATTATTAATACTAAGAAAGAGTCTTCTTTTTTAAGTGCTTTCTTTAGCTACGATAGAGCTGTTATTGTTGTCCGTATCTGTACTAGTTTCCTCGGACACTTTAAAGAAAGTGTAAGACACAGTATTAAGTTATTGATTCCGTCCATTCTTGGATCGGTTTCAAACGCTGGATCAATGTTCTGAAGAAGACCTACAAAACCAAGTCAAAAAAGGTTTCCATGTGTTCTTGATTTCGCCTAAGGAATGAATATTAAGAGAGCAAAGAAGTTACCGGCATGTGGATTTGCTCTCCGGGAAGAAGTCGCTGCTCCTCGAAGCAAAAACACTGTATCTTGTTGAAATAAACTCCTGCCTGAGAAACCCGATCAAAGGCTGTTGTTCTAAGGGAAGTTGTTAGTCAATTACATAAGCTAAGTATATATACCTTCATGGGAGTGACATTGTATGTCGAGACTCCGGTTATGGGAGACGAACTTTAATTTGTTTTCAGCAGTGTAAAAGGCGAGTGCGCTTTCTCCTGGCTTTACCCTCACCTAGCAAAACAAAACATTTCAGTTTATAAAACACAATGACAAATCACAAAAACACTTCTTGACATGTAAAGTATAAACCTCTCTTGGCGTTGGAGTGAACTTCCACTGCATCCCATCTGCAACATCAGCATTGAACTGCACCACAATCTCCCTATTTACGATACGAACAAGATAGTAAGCTACCAAGTTCATACATACAAAGAAGATGCTGGGATATGAATGATGTTAAGAGACAGAGGAATATAAACACCTTTCAGTGACGGTACCAGATTCTGAATGCCTAGCAATCTTCTCCTCAACAGTCTGTAGTATAAAGCCAAACAAAAAGACTGAGAAAGAGACACTAGGAAGAATTGAAACCTTGGTGGAGAATGGAAGAAACAAAAACAATATACCTCTTTGCGTTGAATAGTACCTCCATAGCCAGTAGCTTGGCAGAATGTTCTATACAATGGTACAGCCGCGTAAGTCAACCCCACCATGCCAAAGACAACAGCAGTGAGGTAATAGAGCATTTTCTTTGATTTGGTTTCTGTTATAGAATGTGTAGAATACTAGCGATGGGCACCGAGTAACACCGACTTAGCAGTAGCAGAGTGGGGATTCGGCAAAGAAGTGTTTCCCCAAAACACTGTCTTTCTTCGGAGATTATGCTCATTGCCTTTACAAGCTCCATGAGTGTAATAACGAGGGCAAATCATATATATAAGTCAATCAAGGATAATGTAGATCAAAATAAAATAAAATATTCATTCGACGATATGTGTCGTATGATTAAAATTATTTGAAAAAACCATACCATGGAAATTAGAAAGATGCAAGTTTTTTAAAAAAAATTAGAAAGATATTTGACATCGAAGCAAATTAATAGAGAGTTAAAGAATGGAATCTAAAGATCAAAGTTTGGCCAATGGTAATGCAAATAGTGTCAACATATTTTTGGAATGTAAACTAATATATATAAACACAATTGATTTATACAATTGAGTGTTCTAGGCATTAACAATCTTGAAATTTTAATTTAACCGATGTTAATATAAAATTTAGAAATATAGGTTCATTGTCAGCATTTTCGATATATAAAGATATGATGAAAGCCTATGGAATTAATAATTCTAGTATATATAATTAGGTGTTGCTTCGCATGCTAAGTAATTTTATATGTTTGACTAAACATAACGACAAGGACTAGTATTTCTCATTATCGAATTATATTTATAAGATTAATCCAACTCATTTGTAATTTATTAATGGTCGAAGATTTATTTTGAAGGTCTCGACCTACAAGTTTCGAGTCTTTTCATTGTGAAAAATACTTATTTTCTATTAATATATATATGGTTTTAGCAATTTATTAATTTGTCTATTATATAGAATATTGGAGATATAATTGAATATGTGGAAAAGTGAAAGTATCATTTGAATATCCTCACATATATTTTTTTTTTTTGAAAAAAATATCCTCACATATATTGTAGCAACCGGTGACAGGAACCAAACGACAATTTATCAGCTGAAAAAATTCGTGGAGTTTGCAATAAACTCCTGCCAAAAAATTTATCATATTAAACTATATTTTTAACGGAGCTACGCCGTTCGAACAAATAGTATAATTTTATGTGCATCAATGCATGAATCTTTTGGTAAAAGCGACGACTAAAACAATTAACATGCAACGAACCACAAGAAATAGCCATTGGGGGAAGTAAAACGTAGGTCTCTTCTCTTGTATAATATAAAGTTACATGTTTGATGTTAACACAACATCTCCATCATTAATTCGACCTAAGTCTCCCAAACTAAATAAATAATATCAATTAATCGAATGTTAAATATATTAAGCCCCTCGACGATAATGTAGATCCAATAATCTAAAGTACTTAACCACGA